ATCCATATTCAATCCTGATCAGTAATACCTCTCTTGACCTCTTACCATCACCATCCCCACCCCCCTTTTTTTCCGCTTTTTTGCTCTAGCTCAACTACTACAATGCCTGGCCACTGTGATTACTGCAACACAGACTACTCTAAGTCTGCTAGTGCTCATCAGCAGAAATGTACCAAGTATATGTTTTCTGTTCATCAACATCCTCTGTCCAAAACAGGGCCCCTTATTCCTATTCAGAGGGGCCCTGATTCTTTTATTATCTGCAAGTGTTTGGATAAAAACAATGTAGTCTGCAACAGGCCCTTTTCCACCAACAATTCCTTGCTCAAGCATCTCAGGGAAGTACAGCATGATAACTGGCAGGTAAGAACCCTTTATTTATTCCTCTGTATTCAATTCCTTACAGTCTATTCTAGATGCCTGCTGCTGCTGCTCTCCCTCCCATCCAAGAAGACCCTTCTGCCCCCGTTACCCCAGTTGTAAGTCATATAATCCTGTAAATATCCACAGCACTCAAATATTCCATAGCCTTCAAGACCCGCTTCCCCCAGGAACCCTGCCTCCCCCATGGATATTGCGCGTAGCCCAGGGGGGCGCTCCAACGCGTCTGAGATGTCCCTGGACCCTCCTCCTTCTCCGCAGGGTGAGGCACAGCCTTCAGAGGTGAGTATGAATTTAATATTTCCTCTACACATTGCTTATTATTATTTCCAGCTCTATGATGTCCCGGATGGCACGCTCGCCACCTGGGGCTATCAGATCAATCGCCGGCTTGAAGCCTTGGTCTGCATTAGCTGCAAGTCGGTGGTCACCCCTACCGCTGCCATCAACCATCACCACGTGCACGAGGAAGCCCGCGTGGCTGTCAACCAGACCGTCCTGGAAGACATTGTGCGCCAGGGCTTCGTCAAGCCTGGATGGCCTTCTATCAACCCTGGAGACCTGGAGTACGAGGGGCTGGAGCGCAAGTGGGGCGTGAAGTGCCCGCAGTGCCCTGCCATGTATGCCTATGGTCAGGGGGTTGTTAAACATGTGTGGAAGGTTCACCATGAGAGGATCGTCACTCAAGGCCTTCGCACTGACTGGATGCAACGCCTCAGTCAACATGACGCAACCCACCATGGCTGGCTGTCCTGTGTCCCACGCTCTGTCCAGCTCACCTCTCCCTCTGCCAACTACCTTACTGCCCTGCGCAAGGAGCTCGACGCCCGCCCACCTATCCCTGCCGCTGAACGGGACCACCGCCACATCAGCCCCTGGCACGCCACTACGCGCTGGCTGGAGTACATAGATGGTAGAGACCCGCAGGAGATGCTTAATCTCATCAAGCCTCCTGAAGATGGCCAGCCCTTCTTCTACCTCATCGCCTGCGTCCGCAACTACGTGGAGCGGGCGTATGACTTGATCGCCACCACCAGTGATGTGTGCCTCCAAATCCTGCACACGGACACGGACACGAGGTAAGTCTACATTCTCTTTGCTAGCCAGTCTGCTTATATTATTCTTCAGCGACTTCAACCATCAGCCGTTTGCACGGCATCAAGCGGAGGGTACATTGCGTGCCTACGAGCGTCTCGTGGTGCAACTGCTGCTCTTCCTGCTGCGGGCTGGGCAAGACATGGATCTGCCGCCAGACGTGAAGGCCGCGCTTCAAGCTCTGCGCCGTGGCCTGCAAGGTGACATGGATGATGCCGGTCAGGCCATCCATCAACTCCTGCTCACGCTGTGGATGCGCGAGTGGACCCCCACAGTGGACAACCTCTTCCCGGACCCCACTGTCTGCTTCGTGATCCACACGCAGGTGAACCAGGATGGGAGTTTGAAGAAGCCAGAGAGCGTGACGGGCATATTCGCCAAGCTCGTGTATGACATGGTGAGTGATTCTGTTCTGCTTCATTCAATCTATGCTGACTCTCTCTAGCGCTTGACCTTCCTGTATGAGTGCCACCAGCGCCTCTCGCGGGAGGACCACCCTGCCACTCTCACGCAGTCTGCACATGACTTGCGCCCATGGTTCACCGTGGGGCGTGAGTCTACCTTCCACTCGCTCAAGTCCTTGCAGCACCGCGCGTCCAGCATCACCATGTCCACGCAAAACGAGCCCAACATGGTGTGGAAGGACGGAACCAACTTCTCCACCCTCATCTATCTAGGTGAGGAGCTTTCCCTCCAGGCCCTACGCGAGTGCCAGGGCGCTTTGGAGGATGCAACAAAGACGCTCCTCGAGGACATCCTGCTCTTTGGCCACCACTTCCCCATCGACATCGCCGCGCTGCAGGACGACATGGGCAACAAGAAGGCAGGCTACTCGCTCTTCGCAGACCGCCGCAACCAGGATGTGCTGGGCCCAACAGACCAGCTTGCAGACTACATCCTTCGCACCCCTGCGCTGCGGAAGCGCTTTGTGATCAAGATTGTGGACGGCAAGGTCATCTGGAACACCGTGGAGCTGTCTATCTGGCTGGCTGGGTTCACTCGCCTCAACCTTCTCTGTCTCATCCAGGCTGAGATGAACTGCGGTGCGCCTGGTCGTACTACGGAGCTCACTGCCATGCCTACTGCCAACACTCCTGCCGGCATGCTCCGCGCCCTGCGCATCATTGGGGAGTACATCGTGCTCATGCGGACGTACCACAAGATGCGCGCTGCCTCTGGTCTGGACCGTGTCATTCCCCACGCCCTGAACGCGGCACTCGCAGCCGTGTTCATCTACAAGGAGGCAATCTGCCGCCCCTTTGCGCAGCTCTGCGTGAGCGTGCTCTTCCCAGGCAACCAGAAGGTGAAGTCGCTCTATCAGGACTTCTTGTTTGTCAACTATGACAGGCCCTTCGATGGGGAAGACATCACCAAAGAGATGAGGGTCTGGACGCAGGCCTATCTGGGTATTGAGCTTGGCATCTCCAAGTGGCGCCAGTGCTCTACCCCCTTTCGCCGCAAGCATGCTGGCCTGGAGGAGATGTGGCTGGAGGACCAGGACACCGTGGACTCTGCACAGGCTGGGCACTCGCACAGCGTGGACACTACCCGCTATGGTGTCACCAACTGGTCTGCAACTGGTCTGGCGGAAGACTACATCGGGCCGTTCCTCAAGACTTCTGTGCTCTGGCAGAAGGTTCTTGGCCTGGTGCCAGGTGAGTTTCTTTTGCTGTCTCAAATATTCTGGCTTACCCAAGTCTACAGGCGGGAACCGTCTCTCTCTGGAGGATGCTGCATGTGTCAACTTCAAGCCTGAGCCTGCCCGCCTCCCCATTGCTGCTCCAGCTGGGTTGGATGTACAGGCTGTGGTGCAGGCTGCCGTGCAGGCTGTCCGGGACGAGCTAGAGCCCAGACTCACTGCTATTGAGCAGCGCATTCAAGACACATCTGCCTCAACCAAGCAAGAGTTGCAGGGGATGTTTGCGGACCTCAAGACCTTCCTGGCTGGTGCCAGCGTTCCTGGACCCATGGCTGGCCCCTCCGCTCAGGTACAAGCACCTGCACCTAGGCTTCCACGCTCCCCCAGCCCTGGTAAGCCATTATTTATTTATCTCAGCACATTGCCTTATATTCTATGCAGAAGACCGCACTGAAGGCATGTACCGTGACGACCTGTTGCCTGCCCCAGCCCCTGCCCATGTTGCTCCCATTCCACGTGCCCAGGTCCCTGTTCCGCTGCCAAAGCCAGGTGAGTTGTATTCTGCTTTCAATCAGCATAGTCTGACTCTTGTACAGCGCCCATTCCCACTGAGGCTGAGGCCTTGGATGCACTGCGTGAAGTGCTGCTCAAGCCTGAAGCAAAGTGGTCGAATGAAGGCCAGAAGCTTGCGGTCATGGCTGGGCTGCAGTGGAAGCAGGACCTCATCGTTGCGCTTCCTACTGGCTCAGGCAAGAGCGCTATTGTGGCCACCGTTGCAAAGCTGGAGAAGCTCAAGGTCACCGCTGTTCTCTGCCCCCTGCGGTCCCTGCTCAGTGACTGGAAGCGCCGTCTCACTGAGCTCCAGTACCCCTTCGAGATGTTCAACAAGGATGATTCTATCATCACTGGCGACTTTCCTATCATCCTAGTCTCCCTGGATGCTACCGCAGGCCTCGCATGGACACAGGCTGTTGCCTCGTTGAAGCCAGGTGTCGAGATCAACCGCTACGTTGTGGACGAAGCACATCTGGTGGTGACTGAAGCTGGGTACCGCTACATCATGGAACGGATCAAGGAGGTGCGCACCAAGCCGCTCCAGCTGGTGCTTCTTTCAGCCACTGTTCCACCCATCTCCATCCCTGCATTCCGCACTTCGTTCAACCTTGTGGCTGGAGAAGGCACCTCCATCATCCGTGCAAGCTCCAACCGGCCTGAGCTCCACTTCCTCCTGCCCAGAAGCCATGCAACGCTGACCACAGATGTGAGTTGAATATTCTACTTTAAAGCTGC